TTAAACTTGAAAAGAATAAAAAAAAATAGACAATTTGACCGTCGAAAGAAATAAAACCAGAATGCGAAGGAAAATGGAACAATTCAAAATTTAAATATGAGTAGAAGAAGAAAAAACAATACAATACGAATGGAGAGAGGCGATACAAAAAGGTGGGATGACAGCGTAAGGAGGTCACACCGTCACAGTTTCTTTTCCTATGTGCAACAATCGCCGAAAACCTATGAGCTTGTGATATATTTGAGTGCACTAATAGTAAAGTGCCAGGTACTGTGGCGATGTGACCTCCTTACGCCGTCATCCCGCCATTTTATTATCTTTTCTCTGGTTCCTGGCCACTTGTTTTCAAATTTTGAATCGTTCCTTCATTCCTTTGCCTCGCCATTCTCATTTTGTTTCGCTCCGTCGTCACTGCCTGCTCAATCGCGATAGCGAGCAGTCCGGCTGTAATATTCAATTGCGTCTAATTGTAATCCTTTTACCAGTTCTCAACCTAATCATGTGCTAATTTTAATGTTAATACCAATCTTTAATTCTGTACAACTCGGCCCTTTTGGAGTAAGTGTCTACTTTATGATCATCCAGAAGCATATCCGTATGTAATTATACGTTAGGGAGTGTTTTATAGTATTGAACCAGTGTATATTATGTATTGTAGTACCTTTTCCTGTTACAGCCTTTCCTTTCCTCTCTTTTCCTTCAAACTATCCAATACATTTTTGTGGCCCGAAGTATCCTATTATTGCCGTAATCCTGGTCACGGCACATTAGTGGTTTACAACCTATTTAATACTAATTACACGAATAACGTGGTCTTAAACTAGGGAATTCCCTGTACTTTATATACCAGAGCAACGGAATCAACACCCGGGAACTACAAAAATAAATGTAAGATCTATTGCGTCTACTTTAGGATTCTTTTCATTTGAACTTGTATTATAGGTACTTAGATATGTTTATAGTGTACTTGTAAATGTCACCAGCAGATGTTAAAAATTTCTATTCTGTGCTACTGAACACATCACTATCATTAATTCAATTTAGGGATTCTACAAAAGCTAGGGCTTCGGAGAACGGTGCCTGCCTAAAGGCCAGCACAAGCCAGCGGATGGCAAGGCAGACGACATTAAATTAATCGATATATATATTCTTTATTGCACCAAAAAAAACAAACAACAAGAAAAAATCTGTGAACAAAAGTGAGCAAAGGTGGACTTATCTCTAAAAGAGATCTCTTCCAGTCAACCTATGGTGGTGAGAGCGTAAGTTGTAAGCGGGCAACAGCGTGCAAGATAGAGAGGGTGAAATACTATAAACTATCGAAAAAATTTGTATAAATACCGATACACACATAAGTATTATAAATAAATACAATAAATAACGTATAATAAATAGCAACATCATAATATATATAGATATATATAAATATATAATAATAAAAAAATAATAATAATTAAGAAACAATAAGATGATTACGAAGAAAGTTCTGCAAGAAAGTGCGCTTTCAAACTTTTCTTGAAAGAAGCAATCGACGGGCTCGCCTGGATGTGGGAAGGGAGTTTATTCCACAACTGCACTGCACGACAAGAAAAGGAGTTAAAAAAGAAATTAGTATTGCAGCTGGGTTGAACGAGCGTCTTAGTGATGCAGGGACGTCTAGAGCGGGTGGGAGGGGGCAGCAGCTGGAACCGGGAACGAAGGTAGGGTGGGGAGTTAGGGTCGCGAAGTATATTATAAATAGTGGACAGGATATGCACATCACGGCGAAGACGAATTGGGAGCCAATTTAACCGAGCACGAAATTCGGAAACATGATCATATTTACGGAGACCGAAAATAAACCGAATAGCCAGGTTTTGTAAGCGCTCTAATTTATTTAAAAGCTCCACGGTCACATCTAAATAACAAACGTCGGCATAGTCAAGTATGGGGAGAAGAAGAGTTTGCGCTAGCATAATTTTAGTATGAAAAGGGAGAAAATATTGGAGTCGTTTGAGGGAGTGAAATGAGTGGTGCATACGCCTGCTGACCTCATTAACATGAGAGGTCCAAGACAAGGTACAATCCATTATTATGCCTAGATTTTTGGCTTTGTCAGTATATGCAATGGACGTTCCATCATAGACCAACGCAGGTACTAAGGACCAATCAAGCTTGCATCTTATTCTGCTACTACCAACAATCATGGCCTGCGACTTAGCAGGATTAATTAAGAGGCCAAACGACTTAGCCCATGACTGGATAGCCAACAAATCGAAATTCAGTGCCGAAATTGCCTCAGAGACCTCACCTACCTTAAAGTTACGATAGAGTTGAAGATCGTCAGCATACAGATGGAAGGGAGAAGAAATTACGCGGGAAATATTATTAATAAAAATTGAAAAGAGTAAGGGAGAAAGTACGCCGCCTTGAGGTACACCAGCAGTTAAATTAGACCAGGATGACGAGCCATCATTAGTTTTCACACACTGCTGGCGACCAAAGAGATAAGAAGAGAACCAACTAAGGACAGTAGAGGAGATATTAACAGCCTGAAGAGTACCCATGAGAATGTCCAAATCAACGGAGTTAAATGCACTACTAAAATCCAACAAAGCAATAGCAGTGAGCTTCGTTTCATCCATAGCATGACGTATGTCTTCAGTAATGTTCAGTAAAGCACTAACAGTACTATGAGATGGACGAAAGCCAGACTGATATGGACATAAAAGGTTATGGGAGATGAGGTGAGAATAAAGTTGTCTATGGACAATGGACTCAAGAGCTTTAGAGAGGATAGGAAGAATAGAAATAGGACGGTATTGTGAAAGTGATGTAGGATTTGGGATTTTAGGGAGAGGTATAACAAAAGCCTTTTTCCATTGTGCTGGAAAAACATTGCGCGAGAGAGAATAATTTATGATATGAGTAACAACAGGTGCAATGTCCTCCAACACAGGTAGAATCATGTCGAGGCTCAAATTGTCACTGCCGATGGCTTTGGTGGAGATTGAGCGGACACATTTCATTACAGTTTCTTCTGAGACCATGTTAAAAGTAAAAGGGGGACAAACAGGTGGAACAAGATTAGAAAGAGAAGAAAGGGTACTGGATTTAGTAAGATGGTTAAGAATGACAGGGGGAGTCGAAAAATGAGAATTTAGGGCATTGAGATCCACGTTGCTTTGACAAACATCCATGGACTCGCCCACGCCAATAGAATGCAAAAATTTCCAGACCTGAGCCTGAGAAAGATTTTGAATGGTGGAATGAATATAACGGCGTTTAGCATCCCTACACATTCTGTTGCAGAGATTTCGTAACTTCTTATAGGCTTCGAGGTTTAATAGAGAGGGCTCACGTTTTAGACGGCACTTGGCTCTATCACGCTTCACCATAACCCTTCTAATCTCAGGCGAAAGCCAAGGAGCTGGTGCGTGTCTGACACGTACTGGACGTACTGGTGCATGAGAGTCATAAATTTTTACAAGTTCAGTATTAAGAATATCAACCTTAACGTCAATACTGTCAGACGAAAAAAGCAAAGACCAGTCAACCCGACCAATATCCTCTCTCAAACGAACAAGATCCATATGCTTAAAATTGCGCAATAGACGGACCTTTCCTTTAACTTTAGGTGGACGCACTCTGTAAGAGAGAAAAATTAAATCGTGATGTGAAAAAGGAGCATCCATCTGCCCATGCGAAAGGACCAGCTTAGGGTGAGAAACAATCATTAAGTCAATCAGGGAAGGTCTGCTGTTAGGGAAGTAATGGGTCGGTTTCAATGTCGTCAGCACTTGGAGATCAAGCGCAGACGTCAAAGCTAATAACTTATCCGAACGGTAGTTATTCTTGAGAATACAAGTATTTAGGTCGCCCATAAGAACAACATGATCAAAAAGGGGAACCAAGTCTACAAGAGTACCTTCCAAGGTGTTAAAGTAGTCTGTTTTGTCATTTGGGCTATATAAAACACCAAGCAGAATTTTTTTATGGTGGACTACTACTGAAAGAAACAGATATTCCAAAGATCCAGTATACTGTGACTGAGAACTGCAAACAACGTCAGCAGGAATGTGGCTACGTAGGTAAACACCAACACCACCACCCCCGCAGCCCGTACGGTCATTGCGAAAGAGTTTGTAGCCTGGAATGGAACAGCTAGTCGAAGGTAATGAAGGCTTCAGCCAAGTTTCCGATACGAGAATACTATCAACTACGCCGGCGCTAAAAGATGTGAGAAGATCGTTGTAGTGAGCGGGAATGCTCTGCGCGTTGATGTGCACTAGGGAAAGAAATTTGGAGTTATTGCTAAATATATTAGAAAGCTTATCTTCAAGAGGATCAGAGTCAGAAAGACTAGAATTAAGACTTTGCGCACTTTCGTAATCATCGGAAGAGCAAGAAAAATATTCATCTTCTACAATCATTGAAAAATAAATATGTAAACTTAATAAATACGTAAAATACGAAAATATTATATAGATATAAAACAAACAAACAAAAAATATTTAAAATAAAAAAATTAATAAATTAAATTAGCCAAAAGAACTCACTGCCTAGGTTGACATGTTGAGCAACTCCAAACTTACAAAAAAAAAAAAAAGAAAACTTAAAAATTAAAAATGTGACAGTATAATTACAATTTCAAATTAATAAAATAAATAAAATGAATGGAAAAACACAATTTGAATTGGAATTTGCTGTAAGTATAATGTTCCATAGCCATAAGAAAAGTGACAACAGAGAAGGCTGTATGCATTAAAGACTCTGCCTGTCTATGGGGAGCATAAAAGTAAACAAGAAAAAAGACAAAAAAAAAAAAAGTGAAATTGACATTATGTGGGTGAGATTGTTTTAACTAAAATAGGAGGTATTACAATTTTGAGTGCAAAATTATATATAATGTAAACTGAATACCCCACAATAATTTAAAAATACGAACAGAGTATAAGCCGGCAAAATTACAACGGTCACAACAAACCCGATAGATCGTCATTTTACTGCACAGTACGAAGTCACGACGAGGAATCCTTGGTGTACTGAGAAGTCAATAGTTTTAGCTCAGCCAAGGAAACAATCTTCTTACGGTTCTTATCAGGAAGAAGGACAACTATAACTCCGTCAGCTGACCAGCACCTCTTCATACCAAAGTGAGCTCGAGCTGCCACAAACACGTCCTGCCGCGGCTTTGTCAGAAACTCGGAAATCGACGTTTTGGATCCCTTTAACGCGGTTTTAGCTTTCCACACCATGGACCGTAGATGCACAGTGGTAAAACGAACCAATATAGGCCGGGCTGTGTTCCTTTTAGCACCCAATCTATGGCAAGATTCAAATGCCTCGTTACTAATGCCGGACAACTTCAATTGGTCAGATAATATGACCGAAACTTTCTTGCAAGTGTCTTCCCCAACATCCTCCTTGACTCCATGAAAAAGCAAGACCTTCCTGCGGGAGTGCATCTCAAGACGATCAAAGGAGATGTGCAGGAGCTCCACCTGGGATTTTAGCATGCCAATGGTTTTCCAAACAAAGGACTTAAAAGTGTAGAAGTCCGCTGTAAGACTCTTCACCGTTGTGTTAGCGCCGGGCTGCTGAATATTCTTCTCGAATTCGCCCATCCTGCTATTGAACAGCGAAGATAATTCATGAATACTCTTCATGAGCTGCTCTGCTGAGGCGTCCATTATACAGAAGATGGATAAAGTGAGAGAAAGTTGTGTGAGAGTTAGGAGACAGTCAACCTAAGTGCCAGTGAATTAAATTTTGAAATATATACACATTTACTATTTTTAAATAAAAAAAATTTGGGAGCAGAAAATATTTCGTGTGTTCACTTAAGCGCCTACCCACGTCATTTTGATGTAAATTTTATGCTATTACAATTGAAATAAGGTGTGAATTTCAATGCTCTAAATGCAGAGAGAAATACACCGCGATGCTCCGAGGTCGGTCTCAGAGTATTGCAAATTTATACCTTATTCTAATTAAAATATCATAAATTATACACACGTTGATAATTTTAATGCCCTCTAACTTCCCGTCTGCCGCTTTAAAATAGAAATAAATAGAGCGGTGATGCCCCCAAGCAAGAACTTTATAAATCTGCTAGTTTCAGAAGTACACATTGGTAATTATTAGTACAAAGTTGGCGTAACAATGGATACTTTATTTCCTTAACTCCGTAGCACAAAAACATAATAAATATAAACCAAATTTCACGGCAAAAGATACATTTGTTTTTAATTTCTCCTACTACTCAAGTTGCTCGACACAGAAACATAGATGACCATATAGGTAATACATTATGTATGTGCTATTGTATAAGATATAAAAGAAGAATCATTTTAATAACTAAAAAAAGAAAGCTATAAAGTAATGCTATGTTGTTATGTCTCTTTGCATTTGTACATTAAGCGTCAATTGGTTTCACGTTTTGTTTAAAACGGAGAATATGTTTTATTTTTTCTCGTGGAGAACATTTATCTCTAAGTTCTTTTTTACGTATTTATAAGCACGTTTGATAATGGCATTTTAAATTCATAACTACTTAATCTAACCATTTTGTTAGGACTGTGATTACTTTAAGTGTAATTTGCTTATAGTGGTTATAATAACCTCTCATTTCAATTTTAAAACATTTAAAAACACAAAATCGTAATATCATTGTAGTACGGAAGGTATTCTGCTAAAGCTGAAATCTATAACGTAATAATGAAGTTTATGTACATAGAAACAAACTTATAAGGATAAGGAAGTATTTCTCCAATATATTAATTCCTTTCAAATCATACGTCATCCATCTTGCATCGTGCTTTACATCCTATCAAAGTACCGCCGTATAGAAAAGTGTGCTCAGTTTGTCATAAGATGTTTACAGGTTTGGTCGATCTTTTGATGATCAACATATGTCGATCGACAAAAAATACGATGTCGACCGTCTGTTGCTTAGAAAATTACTCAATTAGTTTGATCACACTAATATTACCACCACACCGGGAAACAGTGTATGTAGGTCAGGTGAAAAAGCCGTGACTAAAACATGATGGAAAGAAAATCTCTTGTTTTCACCCTCGAATCGCATCACCGAAGGCTTTGGGTCTTGGCCTACCGTTTCACAGACAATGGCTGGTAGTAATGATGATGACAGAGACAATTCTTTTCTGTAGTGAATCTCAATTGTAATGTTTGCATAATTAGCTCATGTTAATCAGGTTATCCATCCAGAACAAATGAATTGGATGACGCTCAAACGAAACGTCATGAAGAAATCTAACGTCGAATTGAGTTCTTTACCGAACCGTGAAGCTCTTTTCGTTACGATTATCCCCACACTCATTTGTATTCCGCACTCATACATCAAAATCAAGCTATCTTACAAATCTACCGACAATCTTACAAATGCATTCCAATAAATTATTAAACATTGTAAGTTATAAAGCAGTAAAGTTTAATTTATATTTACTAAATAAAAATAATGTGGTAAGGATTTACACTTCAAGAATTATTGCCCACAACACTGGACCAATGAGGGTTGGGAACTTCTCACATTTTCCAAGGGCTGTGAACCTTCTTTGAAGTGCATTTTTCATCACGGTCTTTTCCTTTACTGTTAGAAAGAGGTATCCCTACTAAATATATCAAATATACCTAACTTAAAAACAAAAGTCATTGGTACTTGCCTCCACAGGGATTCGAATAGTCGACCTCTCGATTGAGATGCCACTAACTGCTCTAGGCTACTAAGACTAAATATAATTGTGGTTTGTAATTGTAAAACCTTTGTCACACGAAGTCTGGTTTTTGTTTCCAAAAGTTAATGTTTACACTAGGCTAAAATTAGCTTTCAAAAATAGTGGCTTATATAAAAATAGTCTATATAGCACAGTTGCATTTAAAATGTGCTAAATTTGAATGTGAAAAGGATACTGAGTTTTTTATTAGTTAAATAATTGTAACCTTTTTAAAAAAACGACCTCAAAAGTTCGTGGAATTATTGAAATCGATTACCGGAAAGCGCGCAAAACCGGATTCATCCCTTGTTCGCCACCCATAGAGGTGGAATATTTTCTTCAAATTTAAATGGGACCAATGCTGAGGTACCAACTTTCCTACAAAAAAAGAATCAATTAAGAAAATCAAACAAAAAAATTGATCCGAAAAAAAGCTTCATTTTCAATGTGTAACAATCGCGAAAACATGGATGCTCGATACGTGTATAATCTTTACTTCTTTCCTTTCTTTACGTTTTATCAATGGTTACATTCAGTCTGTCAAAGTTACATAGAGGTACGAAATTAAGATCGTGACTGGACTGATGAGCGAATACAGCCGATCGGTTATTACGTGAATTACGTGGCGTGTGTGAATGTATTTGTAAAAAAAAACTTGCGAAGGGTCATTGAACTCATTTTAGTTTAAAGGTAACTCACTTGCCTGCTTATAATGATTGACAGGTCTAAAATTTTTGATTGTTGTGGCGTTTTTTGAGCTGAATTTTAACATTTATATACAGACTATAGAAGAGTTATAGAAGGTAAATGAATGCACACCTGTTTTCATCATGGGTGTGTATTCTCTGATCGCGTGGTTGTGGAGACTGATAATATTCAATGTGTGTACTTTGATCACGATACCAGTTTCACCTGCCTAATTGCCGTGCGTTTCATTGTAACAGTTTCACTTGAAAAAATTGTCAAACAGTTTCCCAACAGATCACGATACTATTTAATACTGTGTCGCCATCTCTGTGGTATCGAGTTCGATCCCCAGCCGGGTTAATGTAGAAAATGAATTATATTGTCTCGGGTGTGGGTTCATGGAATCCTTAAACTCCTTTATACCAAGCGACACGCCTTTCCATAGCAATCACAGTGTCACTCAGAGCTTTACATCGCAAAGATCTGATTGACACTGCCGTTGCGCCTGTCACTCTGAGACATAAGTTGATGAGTCCCATGTGCCTGTAATTTCACCAGCACCTTTACCCTTCAAAACCTTCCTCTGTCGCACAGTCGACAGTTGGAACTCCCTTCTAGCGCACGTATTCCCTCCGTCTTACGGTACGGGGTCCTTCAAACGAGGCTTAAAGTGGCATCTTGTAGGCATGCAGGATGGAGGTGGCTAGGGCCGGGATTATATCAACACTACATAAGATTCCACTTTCCATTTTACATCACGTGCAATGGAGTCATCGTCATAAAAAAAACGAAACACAAGAATGCTCACATTACTGCTTGGCGGCAGAAATAGGAAAGGTGAAGTACTTCCCTGGATGAACTCTTTCACAAGGAGCTCTATTGTACTATCACCACACTACAGAAAAGTTATCATTTTGCTGATGTGGCTTCTAAAACTAAGGGTGCGATATACCAGATCCAAGTAGCGGCAGTTACATCATTCATTTGCTGTTTATTATTGTTATTAATAGCACTATAGCACGTTCCGCATGAAAGTCCATTGCAAACTAACAAATCTATTGTCGCAATTGCTTCCTCAATCAACTGTCCAAAATCAATGACAGATACATTATTCCTACATCGATATTTTTGCAGCCATATCAATTTACCGACAGGAAATTACGCATGAAGGAATTGACGACGTGTGAATCTTTCCTTATCACCCTGATCTCAGCGGTAACGTTAAAAGAACAAGTATAGCACGTCAGTTTAGCGAAAGTATACATAATTAGTTGCACCTCAGGCGATCGCCGGCATACAGCTCTGAACCTCGAAATTGCTTCGCGTTTGACACACTCTTCCGTCTATTATGAGCCCAGACCACAATAAACTTCAAACAACCTTATAACTATTCCATAAGGTATATTTTACATTTCATCCAACGTAGAAGAATCGGAAGAGATCCCGTCAACTTATGAAACTTAATATCAATATTAGAAACTACTTCGATAGCATCAAGTCCGAAATTTGCGTGGCACAAAAAAATCTATTGTTCGCATATTGGTAGATGTAGATCAACGTTGATTATTTTGTACTGACAAGCAAATTAGCTGAAGCCTTTGTCTCGTTTAGACGTATTAGCCGTGATGGGTGATTGAAAGACTCTAGATAAGGGACCTGATGCGGTGTTCAATTAAACAGTTCATTTGATCTTGCGTGAATGAAATTGCAGAACAGATATGACCAGTTACTCAATGTGAGTTAACTAGTGAAACTTTCTTTAATCGACTATGTATTGTATGACACAAAGGCAGTCTTGAATGACAATTACAACTTTCACATAACCAAAAAGAATACAGATGAAGGTCATATCAACAATATTATTAATTGTTAAGTCTTTGTATCAAGGCAAGACGAGATTGCATTGACAACCCCGTTTCAGTACTGTATTTTAGAAGTACTTTGAAAGTTGTCACTTCTCTTTTAAAGCCAATTAATTATAGTGATAATTTTTAAAGGCGGGTAAAAGCATCGACTCTTAGCCTAAATTCAAGTATTTACTGCAAACAATAACCTGCTCTTGAAGACCATAAATGTAGGAAACGATCACGACATGTGTACACGTGACCCTAGCTTTTACTAAAGCACACCATTGAAAGCGATCCCTGCGAGAAAGCCACGGTAATTGTACGGAATTCACTTACACCTATATTAAGATTTGAGGAATCTGATAATTGTGAGAAAATGTCAGAAGGCGTCTTCTATACTATCGTATGCTTTTTATCGTC